GGAGGAGGAAGGACGGAATGAAGGAAGGAAGAGATGAGGAGAAGGAGGACGAGGAGCCGGAGGAGGAGGAGGAGGAGGACGAGGAGCAGGAGGAGGAGGAGGAAGCGGAGGAGGTTACGAGGGATTATTGGAGGAGGCGGAGGGAAGGGAGGCGGAGGTTGCGGAGGAGGAGGAGGAGGAGGAGGAATGACGGAAGGAAGGAAGGACGGAAGGACGAGAGAACGGGAGGAAGGAATGCAGGAAGAACGGAGGGAAGGATGACAGGAAGGAGGGCACGAAGGAAGGACGAACGGAAGGAAGGAAGGACGACATGAAGGAAGGAATGAAGAAAGGAAGGACGAGGAGGATGATGATGATGAGGAGGAGGATGAGGAGGATGAGAAGGAGGATGAGGAGGGAGGAGGAGGTCCGGTTGGATGAGGGGAGGAGGAGGAGGAGCTGGAGGAGGAGGAGGTGGAGGTGGAGGAGGAGGAAGAGGAGGAGGAGGAGGAAGGAGGGAGGGACAGAAGGACGGAAAGACGGTAGGAAGGAAGGACGGACGGAATGAAGGAATGAAGGAAGGACGAGCGGAGGAGGAGGAGGAGGAGGAGGAGGAGGAGGAGGAGGAGGATCAGGGTAAACCCAAGAGTCATCAACAATGTTGGAATATACTCTATTCTCAAGCTCCTTATGCATAAGTCTCTACAACGGTTCACTTTCATTGAAGTAATTGCCTCTCTGGAAGACAACCATTTGACGACCCTGAACCATACCATAACATTGCTCCCCAGATTCCAACGCCACGGATCAATTTGTCTTCTGCGTCTTGACCATCCTGAATCGCGCCAGAACGCCATTCCCAGGACTTCAACGCGGCCAACCAACATTATTGTTGCACCCGCAGAGCCCTGAATCTTTTAAAGCACCATTATTGGCACGTTGTTGATGGGATTATTGCATATGTTTAAAGCGAATGTGCGCCGCGCTAAAGCGAGAGCCACATTTTGAAAACGACCCCCCTCAAACCGTGAAGCTCTTGCGATTGTCTGAAACGAATGTGCGCGGCGCTGAGGTGAGAGCCACATTTTGAAACCGACCCGCCCTCAAACCGTGTAGCTCTCGCAATTGTTTGAAACGAATGTGCGCCGCGCTAAGGCGAGAGCCACATTTTGGAAATGACCCGCCCTCAATCCGAGAAGCTCTCGCGATTGTTTGAAACGATTGTGCGCGGCGCTAAGGCGAGAGCCACATTTTGAAAACGACCCGCCCTGCTGTTGCAAATTTCTAAGCTTCAGAGTCATACGTTGGGAAGGGGGGGGGATGAGGAGGAGGAGGAGGAGGAGGAGCAGGAGGAGGCGGAGGAGGAGGAGGACGACGAGGAGGACCAGTGTAAACCCAAGAGTCATCAACGATGTTGGAATTAACCCTCCCTCCAAGCTCCCTCCTTCATAAACCCCTACAGCGGTTCATTCCCACTGCCTCGTTGGAAGACAGCCCGTTGACGACCCTGAAGCATGCCAAACCATGCTCTCGGGATTCCAACGCCACGGATCAACCTGACCGCTGCGTTTTGACGACTTGGAATCGTGCCAGATTGACGACTTGCAATTGTGCCAGAACGCCGCGGATCAACATAATTGTTGTACCCGCAAAATCCGGATTCCTTCGCAAACGCAATGTCTGGTACGCTGACCAAGGGAAGCCGTAAAACTCTTGCACGTTGTTGCAACCAATGTGCGCGGGGTTGAGGCGAGAGCTACATGTTGAAGACGACCCGCCCTCAATCCGTGAAACCCTTGCGATTATTTGAAACGAATGTGCGCCGCGCTAAGGCGAACACCACATTTTGAAAACAAGCCGCCCTCAATATGTTTAACTCTTGCACATGTTTAAACATACTGTGCGCTTAGTTGAAGCGAGAGCCGCATTCAAGAAGCAACACCCGCCCTCCATCTGTGAAACTGCTGCCACTTTTCAAGCTTCAGAGCCATACATGTTGAGGGAGTCTCATGCGAAACGCCCGGCCCGACCTAAAAACTGGCCTCGGGGTGCGACAGGGAGACGTTATTGATAAGGAGAAGGAATAGAGGAGGACGATGAGGAGGGGGAGGAGGAGGAGGGGGTGGAGGAGGAGGAGGAGGCGGGGGAGGAGGAGGAGGAAGAGGAGGAGGCGGAGGATAATGATGATGATGCTGAGGAGGAGGCGGAGGAGGAGGAGGAGGAGTATGAGGATACTGAGGAGGAGGCGGAGGAGGAGGGGAAGGGGAGGAGTAGGAGGAGGAGGAGGCGAAGGAGGAGGAGGAGGCGAAGGAGGAGGAGGAGGCGGAGGAGGAGGAGGAGGAGGAGAGGGGGATAGAGGATCGGAGGATTAACGAGAAATCAGGAGAGGGGCTGGAGTAGGAAGAGGAGGCGGGGGAGGAGGAGGAGAAGGAGGAAGAGGCGGAGGAGGAAGATGAGGAGGAGGAGGAGGAGGAACAGGAGGAGGAGGAGGATGCGGGAGGAGGAGGAGGGGGGGAGGGGGCGGAGCAGGAGGAGGAGGTGGAGGAGGAAGATGAGGAGGAGGAGGAGGAGGAGGAGGAGAAGGAGGAGGGGGAGGGGGAGGAGGCAGAGGAGGAGGAGGAGGAGGAGGAGGAGGAGGAGGAAGATGAGGAGGATGAGGAGTAGGAAGAGGAGAGGGAGGATAAGGGGAGAGGAGGGGGAGGAGGAGGAGGAGGAGGAGGAGGAGGAGGAGGAAGAACGGAGGAGGAGGAGGAGGAGGAGGAGGAAGAGGAAGGATGAGATTCGGTCGGGGAGGAGGGGGAGGGGGAGGGGGAGGAGGAGGAAGGAGGCAGGAGGGAGAAGGAGGAAGGAGGAGATTTTGACGCAGGACGGAGGAGGCTGGGGCGGGAGGGAGCGGAGAATTCCCTAACGGGGTTGTGCAGCACGGTCCGCGCCTTCGGCGCTCCTCGCCCTCGGCGGAATGTGGCAGAAGGGCGGCGGAAGCGGGCGGACGTCAAACGGTGGCGGGCCCGCGGGCGAAAGTCATCGGAAAGTCGGCGGAAGGCGGCGGAGGAAGGGGAAGAGTGAGGACTATATTAAGGTCGGCTCAGACGTGCACGGCACGTGTGCTAAGGACATGCCCAGCTCTGGAGGTGACTCTCCCGCTCTTTGTGCTGATGCTTTCCGCCCTGGGCCGCACTTCTCTCTCCTGGCATGCCACACGAGGCGCTGTGCCCTCGCAGGAGAGGGCTCCTGTTCTTGGCCAGCGGTCTTGAAACAGTTGGAGGAATGTGGACGCTCCTCCTCCCCCTGCTCCTCCTCCTCCTCCTCCTCCTCCTCCTCCGGCTCGACTTGTGCGAGTTTCCCGCCGCTTCCAGGGGCGACGCGCACGCCGAGGCATCTCGGAGCATCGGCACGGAGGCGGGCACGAGCTGGCCACACTTAACCGCCTGGGTGCCAGCATGCCACAGGACTTGGCATCGCTCGGACGTATGCATTTTTTTCTCGGCGAGGACCTTCGAGGACGATCCTCGACCATCTGGCGAACAAAACCACGCACGAAACCGAAAAAAACACAGGGAATGGACGTCCGAGCGATGGCCAGAGGTGGGGCCGGCGGATCGCGGCGCATCGCCATCATTGCGTCGGCGATGCGGCGCGATCTCCAGGCCGTGCTTCTCCATCGCGCCGTCGCCGTTGCATCGTCGACGCGTCGGCCTTCGGAGGATCCACCCGAGCCGCGGGGCTGGGCTGGACTCCGGGTCGAGCTGTGTGTTCTGCGGGCGGCACGGGAGGTTGGGTCTCGTGGTGCCTTTTTTTGGTGGGCGGCGGAGCGCTTGGCGGTTGATCCCACTCTGCGCCACGAAAAATGGTCCTCCCTCCCCCTTTCCTGTGCTGTTTATTGCAAACGGTCTGGACGCCCGAAATGGGTACGGAAAGAATGGGTACAATGCCCAACAGCAGTTCCTGTTCATTTTGAACAGGATTCGCTGTCCACGCCGCCGCGGCCTGTGTCCATTCGAGACAGAAGGCCGCCGGCCCAACAGCGGCCGCTGTTGGTTTGGGACAACATTTGTTGTTGGGCATTGTACCCATTTTTTCGTACCCATTTCGGGCGTCCAAAAAGCGGTCGGGTAACCACCAGGGAATATGTCCTTCTTAGGCGTTGCCAGTAACAGCTGGATGCCCAGCCCGCTGCCTAGCTTTCCTCTCCCTTTTCCCCCCTCTCGCTGCATGGCTATCGGCCTTTGGGTTCGAGTTGCGGGCGGCGGACCGCACGGCGTTTGATCCCATCTTGCGCCACGGAAAATGACCTCCTTCCCCCTCCTGGTGCCCTTTGCTGTAAACGGTTGGTTACCACCAGGGAGTCAGCGCCAGATGTAAGTGACAGGGAAGATTCCACAAAGCAGTGCGCAAACATACCATGCAGCTATTAGCCTCGAAAGTGCTTGCTTGAACGAGCGCGCTCACGAGGTCGGGCATTTCATTCGCCGAGGCGCGATTCCGCTCAATCTTGCCCTTTCCAGTAACTTCCTCCTCCCTTCTCCTCGGACATCCGACGTCGTTGTGTTGTTGATGTGTGCCCTGTTTTTTTTTGCTCTCTCTCTCTCTCACTCCCCCGTTTCTGTTAAGTCATATGCATGTGAATGCGCACGTTCCCCAGGCAGTGCGTGTACTTATGGATTCCAACTTCTCTTCGAAGGAACTGGCCCTGAATCCGTCGCCGCCCCGTCGCCGCCCCGTCGCCGCCCGTCGTCTGGGTCTGCATGTCGGCTGGCGGCTCCGTGCTCGCCGTCGCCGCCTCGTCGCCGCACGTCGCTTGGGCCTTATTGTCGGGCTGGCGCCTCCGTGCTCGCCGTCGACGCCTCGTCGCCGCGCGTTCGGTGTGGCGGTTCCGTGCTCGCCGTCTCCGCCTCGTCGCACCGCGCAGGCATGAACAACGTAGATATGCGCACCACATATATCACCACATATATTGCACAACATCGATTGCAAGTTTTGATTGCGTCACGTATATTGCACCACGTACACTGCACCACATCTATTGCACATCGTATATACTACAACGTGCTTCGCAAAGCATGAATTGCACCACGTAGATTGCAGCACATACCTTGTCCCACCAAAATTGCACAACACTGACCGCTATGAACACACTGTTAGGGATCCACGATGGCTAACGCACATGTGTATACGTGTACATTTGCTTGTATGTATGGATTGATGCATGCATGTATGTATGTATGTATGTATGTATGTATGGATGGATGGATGGATGGATGGATGGATGGATGTATGCTAATATGTAGGTAGGTAGGTAGGTAGGTAGGTAGGTAGGTAGGTAGGTAGGTCGGCAGGTAGGTAGGTAGGTAGGTCGCCTGGCAGGCAGGTAGGTAGACAGGCAGGTATGTATTCATGCAGATGTTACGCACACATATATACAGGTATGCCTACATACATACATTATATATATATATATATATATATATGTATACAATGTATACATATATATATATGTGTGTATACACGCAAGTATGGATATAATGGCCTTCGGCATATCCCGCCACCGTACCTGGGCTGTGGATCTGAAGCCTATCAGATGTTCATTGGTATCTCGTGTGAGGCCTCTAGGGGGCCTCATGGAGGCAGTTTGGAGGCCTCTTGGGGACCGCTCTGGGACCTCTTGGGGCTTTTTTGGGGCCTCTTGGGCGCCGTTCTGGGGCCTCTTGGGAGCCGCCTGGGGGCATCTCGGGGTCTCCTGGGCGCTTCCTGGAGCCTCCTGGGGGCCTCTTGGGGCGGAAGGCTCGTATTTTCGGTTCGTGTTCCCTCTCTTGGGCCTTTTTGGGGGCCGTCTTGGGGCCCTCTTGGGCCGTGTTGGAGCGCTCTTAGGCCTTCGGGGGCCTCGCGGGGCCCTGTTTGCTCAGTTTGGAGCGCCCTTGGCCCTGGAAGAGCCATGCGGGAACACCTCCCCGAGCCCAGGGGGCACGCAAAAAGCCCCGGCAATTTTTTCGGGTCTGGGCCCCTGAGAGACTCCTCAGGATTGAGGACTGGGGCTCCAGGGATCAGGCGAGGGACCTGAGGACAGAGGCCCGGTGGCGGTATACACAAAGGAAAGACGCTCCCCCCCCCCGAGCTCTCAAATTTCCATTCCTGGAACCTGCTTTTCGCAGCGGGCCGCTCTTCGAGGGTCACCCAGAGGCCAGGGGAGGCAACGGGCGAACCAACAAATCACGTGCTCGCCGTGACGCCCCGGAGGCGCTGGGCCTGACTTAGGGGAACAACAAGTGGCATAAACATAAAAACTCGGAGGTCCGCGCGGATTTCTCGGATCGGCGCTGGGGCCCCCCGGCGGCGCCTCCGGCGCCGCCCCTGGCGCGCTCCGCGCGCCAGGGAGGCGGGTCCAGCACCGATCCGAGACATCAGCGCGGACCTCCGAGTTTTTATGTTTATGCCACTTTTTTGTTCTCCTATGACTACGCCCGCGGTTCCCCCGGCTGCGCGTGAGAGTGGCCCTCGGCCGGGGCGGCCCTTCGTGCGGGCCCACGTGGGGCCACACCCGATCGCCCCCATGGCGAGGCAGGAGCAGCGGCCTTCGTGCCTGGGTTTGAGGGCATAAGGGGGGGAGGAGGAGGAGGAGGAGGAGGAGGAGGAGGAGGAGGAGGAGGAGGAGGAGGAGGAGGAGGAGGAGGAGGAAGGGGAGGAGGAGGAGGAGGAGGAGGAGGAGGAGGAGGAGGAGGAGGAGGAGGAGGAGGAGGAGTTTATTTTTGTCCCTCCCTGGCCCCCATGGAAGGCCCGCGCGTGCTCTCTGACAAGCGCCGGGAGGCGCCCAGGAGCGCCCAGAGGCGCAGGGAGGCCCCGGGAGGCGCCGGGAAGGCGCCCGGGTGCGCCAGGAGACGCCGGGAGGCCTTGAAGGCTCTATAGTTATGTTGTTCCCATCGTACTTGAGGACCGCATCCCAGAAATAATTTCGAGCACCCGGAAGAGTGTCGAAGGAGTATCGGTATAGTGTCGAAGCAGTGTCTCCCAGGGCCCGGCACGTGAAAACCCTTGAGTTTTTGGGTAATTACTTTTCTTGCGCTCGAAATTCTTTCTGGTGATAAAGGCTTCGGAACATCATAACTCTACGGGCCCCTAGGCCTGCCAAGTGTGGTCCGAGTAAACAGGAGGCGGAGGATCGCGCAGCATCACCGATGCGTCGGCGATGCGGCTCGATGTGGAGCCCCATTTTCAGCTTCTCCACGCCGACGGCGCCGGTGCAATCGCTGGCGTCGCCGACGCATCGCCGACGGCGATGCGGCGCGATCCTCCGCTACTATCTATACGCGGACCCAGTCTGGGAGGCCTCTATAAGGAAGGCGCCCGGGCGCGCCAGGAAGTGCAGGGAGGCCCGGAAGGCGCTAGGAGGCCACCGAAGCTGGGCTTAAGTCGGGCCTGTCCTTCTACAGGGGGAACATTCAAATCTAGTAAAGAAATATTCAGAGGACGATTTGTTGACCATTTTTGAGCATTTTTGATGGGTATTTTTTAACCGTATTTTTATTTATCGCCAAAAATCCCCCTGTATGGGGGACAGGCCCGACCTAACGGTCTCGCTTGCGTTGTGGAGGACGATCAACGGAGAGGAAGCATTCTGCCACATAGTTTCCAGATGTCAGAACATGTGTTCAAACTGCTTCAAACATGTAAAACACATGTTTCAAACAGTTCCAGGACATGTTTCTGGCATTCTAAACACATGGTATATTTCGATGATGAACCTGCTAGGGTGTCCATGGTCGTGGCTGGCATCCGCAACGCTTGCGCGTGGCGCGCTCTCTCGCCCGCGGCGGCAGGTGTGCCCTCTGTGCGAGTGCGCGCCCGCGTTCTCGGTGAGCGGCAACTTCAACATGAAGGCTTGCGCGCGCGGGCCCGCGCGCCTGCCGCTCGCGCCAGGAGGACCTTGGCATCGCTCGGGCGTGCGCACTCTTTCCTCGGCGAGAACCATCGAGGACCACCCTGGAGCATCGAGCAACAACAAAAAAAAACGCGCGCGAAACTGAACAAAATGCACGGAACATGGACGTCCGAGCGACGGCAAGGGATCGGTACGATCGAGGTTGGCTTTCGGAGGGAATCGGGGATGATACACTCTGCATGGACGTGAAAATCTCGGCGCTCCGGAAGTTGCCGTCGGTGCCGATTTGTCTTCTCGCAGCTGACAGGGACGGAGACCAGCAGCAGCCCCTGCTCATTTCTATCAGGACTCGCTGTTGGCATTTCCACGAGCGTGGTCTGCTTGGAGCAGACGTGGCCTGCCATACAGTGGCCACTGTCGGCTTCAGGGCAGCACATGCCGTTGGGCAGCGTCCGCTTGTTTCTCCGTCCCCAGGAGTGGGCGTGCCATCTGCCCTGCCCCCCGTGTGCACCTCGCGCGCCCCCAGCCTGTGACACTTTTTTGTTGGCCGCGGCTCGGATGGTAAGTTCGTCATCGGCCGTCGTTGCTGCGTTTCTTCACGTTCCTTCTGCTCATCTGCATCCATGGTCGTCGCAGGTCCTTGCTCCAGTTCGACCCGTCTCCTGCGCCCTGCCCCCACTTGTCGGCACGCGACGGGCTCTCTACTACAGTCAGCCCGAACAGCAAGGGTGGGCAACCGTCCCAAGGGTACCCTCGCATCCTTTTGCCTCCTCGGCCCATCCTTGGCCACTTTCGTTGGGCCGCGCCCCGCTCGCAAAGCTTCGGCGTGTCCTTCCCTGCATCCTTACCGCGCATCCTTACTATACTGGTTGACTGTACCGTGCCCTCCCCTCTGCAGCCAGCTGCATCGGCGCGAGGGGTTCCCGCTTGCGCGGACCCATCTCAGGTCCCACACGTGTTGGCTGGTCCAGAGCGAGCAAGCGTGTTTGTCGGCTGCCAGCACACTGGGGTGCATGATGGGCCTGTTTTCCACCACCACCACCACCAGAGGTTGGAGGGGGAGGGGCTCCTCCTCCTCCTCCTCCTCCTCCTCCTCCTTCTCCTCCTCCTCCTCCTCCTCCTCCTACTCCTCCTAATCATCCTCCTTCCCCCCTCCAACTTATGGTGGTGCTGGTGGAAAACAGGCCCATCAGTGCAGCACGACTCTGTCATCGTGTACTGGGGCGTGCAGTGTTACGAGCTCCGCAGCTGTGAACCGCTCGGCGGGTGGGACTTGCCCCTCCTTCCCTCCGCATCTTCTTCCTCCTCCTCCATCGGCACGCAGGCCCTTGATTCCCGACCGCTGCTTCTCCGGACAGGATCGTGACCGCTACTTCCCCCCGTGGAGGGTGGGATGATCTGGGCAAAAACACATTCGTGATATTGCAAAGAACGGCGCCTGCGGCGGGCTTGTGATCGAAGTTTCTGCTGGTTGACCAGTGGAGATGCGCCTGCGGCAGTTTTTGATGTTCACGTGCATTTCTATCGCATTCAAGCATCGGTTCAACACAACTCCGCGTTTGCAACAGGCTGTTGATGTCTTTTGAACTTTCGAATGATGCTGTGCATATTCGCGTGTGCGTGGGCTTTGGGCATTGTGCCAGTTTATCTATGCGACTCTGCATGCCTGGAAAAACTGCACGTGTCCGTCTGCGTACATAGAGCAGCGCTGCGGGTTCACACGGCGTTTCAGCCCACGTTTTGGAGTGGCCACTGTTCCATGGCCACCTCTTCGCTTTTCAGACCTGGGGGGATGACTGCACCCCAACCCGTATGCCTCACCATGTCTTCATCTCCACCACCCATAAGGTCCATCGCTCTTTGGTAGTAGTTGGAACCTTCCCCATGTTCCACTCGAAGCGGCATGGTTCGAAAGGACCTGAAGCTGTTACCTTAGTGTCGTAGATGCTCTGAAGGGGGGGATGCGAAGGACACGACAGGGTGATCCACTGAGAACCGACATTGTGAACAGTGGAGAAGACGACTGGTGCTTCTGCCCCATCTTTCTGCTGCGTGTCCCTGGCAAGATCGATCCGTGAGGGTTCGGGGGCCCAGGACCTGGCAACAGGCGCCCGCGGTCTGGGTGTTGCCAGAGGCGCCCATGGCCAAGAGTTGTGTCCCCGGGAGCTCCCGGGAGGCCCCCTGAGGCCTCCCAGGAGTCCCCCAGGGATTCCTGTGAGGCCCAGAGGCGCCCGAGGGCGGGGGGGTGTCCAGAATGGTGCTAGGACTTCCTCGAACGTTCACGCTCTTACCTTCCTGCTCGTCGTTCCTCTCCCTCCTGCCTCCTCCCTCCTCTTCTCCCTTTTCTCTCCCTCCTCTCTTCCTTCATCCTTATGCCTCTTTGCCCTATCCCCTCTGCCCTCCTAGCCTCCTAGCTGTTTTGGCACTCCGCGGCCCTGCAGGGGTCCCCACCCCTGCCCCGGGGGCAGCTCTCCGCCCCGGCTTCGTGGGAGCGCCCAGGTCGAGGAGTACACGCCGGTTGGAGAAAAATCATGCCGTCGGTAGGGGGCCTCATGCGAACCCCACCCTCCCCCTCCGAAATGGTGCGGGGTAGGGGTAGGGTTCGCATGTGGCCCCCTAGTCGGAGATCCCCGGCCCAGCCTGGGGGCACCCTGGGCCGGGACCGATTCTGGCTGCCTCTCTAGGGGCACAAGCAGCGGCACGAGCATAACAACTCGGAGGTCCGTGCGGGTTCCTCGGGTCGGCGCTGGGGCCCCCTGGCGGCGCCTCCGGCGCCGCCCCTTGCGCGCTCCACTTGCGTGCTCCGCGCGCCAGGGAGGGGGGCCGATCGCCGATCCGAGAAATCCGCGCGGACCTCCGAGGTTTTATATGTGTACACGCCGGTCGTTGAAAGTAGGTATTCTGGGATTCCCAGATCCCAATCTACTTCAAGCGCCTTCCTACTTCAAGAATCGGCGCGCTTTTGCTGTGTTTTGTTATTCTCTGGGAGGACCTGGACCCAATCTACTTTATCCGCCTTCCTACTTCATGTTTCTACCTACCCTACTTCTTCCGACAGACGTGTATGTCATTGCTCGTTCCTCGTGTTCGGGGGCGGCATAGAGGGGGGTGATGACTAGGGGGGGTTGGATATCATGGCGGGGGCCATGATATTTCCCAGATTTCATGGCGCCTCTTCTTATTCCATCACGTCCCTGGCCCCCCGCTGGGCCGCGCACATGCCGCCGGTCATGATTTGCACCCCCCCCTCTTGGACACCCCCCTCTTGGCCGCTCCCGATGTGTATGTCATTGCTCGTTCCTCCGGCCTCCGAGCCGTGCCCCTGGAAAGGGTGGGCCACGAGCTCGTCGGCGCACCCACAGGGCCTCCTGGGCCTCCAAATCCAGCCGCCGTCGCCTCCAGGATGCCCAGGATGCCTGTTCTAAGACGGCTCGAGGAGGGCAACAGCACGCCCAGAGGGCTCGAAGAGCACTCACCAGGGGCAACGAGTCCGACAGGGGGGAACAGGCTCGGGGGGGCAATCATCGCCCCCTTTGGAGAGAGGTTGAAGTATCAGATGGCAAAGTTCAATGGGTGTTGGTGTGAAATCGCGAATGGTGGAGGACATATGGTGTACCTCCACTCGGCGGCGGCAGGCATACGGTGCCCACCATTGGGTTGTGAAAGGCCTATGGTGCCCTTCGATGCCCACCCCGTCCCGTCCACAGGGACTTCGCACCTCCCCTTATGGTGGGGAGATGGGTGGACGGGTGGTTGGGCACGTGCTGTCGGAACGGGTGGAGGGGGGGTGGAGGAGGAGGAGAGAGGAGGAGGAGGAGGAGGAGGAGGAGGAGGAGGAGGAGAGGAGAAGGCGGAATAGGAGGAGGGGAGGAGGGGAGGAGGAGGAGGAGGGAGGAGAGGAGGGGGAGGGGGAGGGGGAGGAGGAGCAGGAGGAGGAGGAGGAGGAGGAGGAGGAAGGAGGAGGAGGAGGGGGAGGGGAGGGGGAGGAGGAGCAGGAGGAGGAGGAGGAGGAGGAGGAGGAGGAGGAGGAGGAGGAGGGAGGCGGAGGAGGCGAAGGAGGAGGAGGAGGAGGAGGTGGAGAGGGGGGAAGGGCAAGCTTCGTCGGAGGGTTAGTCGCCCGCCCCTCGATCAATATCCCACCCGGAGTGGGCTCAGCTCAGGGGGGGGGAGGCATCGACGCCCAAGACGGCCCAAGGCCTGGTCGCCGCCGCCGGCCTCGGAGCAGGGCGCGCGGGGCGCCCGGCACACCGAGCGCGCCGCGCGCCAACCCAGGGCACCCTGCGGGTGCTGCACGACGGCCGTGACGACGGGGCCCCGCCCCGCCGCCCCGCCGCCCGCCCTCTGCGCCCGCCCCGCACACAGCGCCTGCGCGCCCTCCTCCTCCTGCTCCTCCTCCTCCTCCTCAGCCGGATCGGAGTGGGCGTCCAAGGCCCTTGGCATCCCCACCGCGCCTCTTCAATCTATGACCACTGCGAGCTCGGGAGGGGGCTCCGGTTTTTTCGGGCCGCTCCTCGGGTCCAGGCCGTGGCTCCCGCTGGTGGCCGAGGCCTGCCGTGGCCAGAGCAGCCCTGTCGCTCCTTCTTCTCAGGGGTGGGCTGACCTCCTACCGTCAGGAGGGGAAAAAACACAGACACAATTAATCGGCGATTCCCCAGAAAATATAGGAAAATATGGGAAGTGGGGGGAGGACAGAAATCCAGAAAATATGGGAAAATATGGAGGGTCTTTTTATTTGTGTGTATTTATTTGTGTGTCCCAGGGCCCCTTCATACCGGACCGGACGACGAAAGAGGGGGGATTGGAAAAGGGGGTGGTACGAAATCTGCTGCACGCAGCTAGTTACGGCCCCGCCCGAGGGGCCCACTCCTCGATACACATGGCTGGCTCCGGCGCCGGGAGGCGCCGGGAAAATCAGCTACGTGGGCTGATTCTCCCCCCCCCTTTGCTATCCCCCCTTTCGCCCGGCCCGATATTCTCAGGGGTGGAATGACCTCCTACCCTGACACGTCGATTAAGGAACTGGCCGTTTTCGGTTCGCGAGAGGGCGTCGCGGCCGTCATTTCTGCGGGTCCAGGTCCGTCGGTGTCGGTCCCAGGCCGTTTTCACTAAGGGGAGGTCTACTAAAGGGAGGATTGTCCACCGCCGACATTCAGCGTTCATAGCTCTGGAGGTAGGAAGGAGCTGTGGCATAAAGGGGTATGGTGCCAATCGTGGAGATGGCGATGCTATCTACGATAAATAACACCGCCAGGGTCCCCTTTGCCTAGAATTAGCTCCACACCCCTTTGTACCATACCCTTTTTCCTACCTCCAGAGCAGCCTACGGTCACTCTTGCGTGTAGTCGACCGTGGTGCTGGCGGCGAGTGTCGGAGTGCCTCCCTCGAGGAGCGAGCACATGGGAAGACGCGCCGAGTTTGGGCGACAACAGCAGACGAGGGGCTGGGCAAGCCAAGCGTGGATGCACGACCGATCGCGGGGCCCCAGCAGCGAGGATGATCACCACGGCGACGGCGATGGGAACGCCCTCCCCGACCGTGTCGGAACCCAGACGTCCGACGTCGCGAGTTTCTTCGCACCGTGGCTCCCCCGAGGTCTGGACCCCTTCCCGGGGAACGGCTTTTCATCCCGAGGCGATTTTTGACGGTCTTGGGGCGCGGTGAGGGACCCCAGGGGCAGGAGAGTGGCGCCGAAATCTCCCGCCGTGACCTTCCTTCATGACGCGAGGATGTGGGGGGAGGGCGGCGGCGGCGACGACGTCGGCATTGTCTGGTCGAAACCCGTTCGAAATCGGCCGAGGCGGGCTTCCTCCCGACATCTTCGTCGTCGTCGGCTTTGTCGTCGGCTTCGTCGTCGGCGTCATCGTCGTCGTTTGGATTCGTCGTCTGCTTTGTCGTCGGCTTCTTCGTCGTCGTCGTCGGCTTCGTCGGCTTCGTCGGCTTTGTCGCCGTCGTCGGCGGCGGCGTCGTCGTTCGTCGTCGTGGTGGCGGTGATCGTCGCAGCCGCCGCGGAGTGTCGCCGTCGCCGACGGTGCCGTCGATGCCGACGTCGTCGGGCACGTCGTGGCCGCCGCCGCCGCCGCCGCCGTCGCCGTGGACGTCGTGGTCGCAGTCCTCGCCGTGGTCGACGCGGTCGCCGCCGCCGAGCTCGGCGCCGCCCCCGGTGGCCGACGGGGGCGGCGGGCCGCTGGCGCGGGGGTCGCGCGGGGCGAGGCCAGCAACCTGGTGCTGCTGGGGGAGGGGCACCTGGGCCAGGCGCTCCCGGGCATGGGCGGGGTAGGAGAGGTACACATATTGCTCATCTCTACTTCTTCGAGAGGTCTTTGATTTTGTCTGGGGGGCCAAGATGCTTTCATTTCTGACTGTTCTGCCCTGGGCCTGCTCCTGGCCACTGGAGGGCCAGGAACAATGAGAAACGAGCACAATTAGAAATGAGCGCGATTAGAAGTGAACGACGTGTAGGACAAGGGGGAGGGGGTGGGATGGGGAGGAGGAGGCCGCCGTCCCGAGCTGCATGGTCGGATGCATTTGGCCGAGTCTTGCGCGTGCTTCAAGGTCTGGGTGGTATCTTGCAGGCAGCTTGGGTGGCTGGGTCCTGGCCGTACAACTGCTTTCTCTCTTTGCGCCAAGCTGCCGCCTCATGAGGTGCGCGCCAGCGGTTAGCTAAGTATGGTCGCAAGCTTTGGTCAGAGCCGATCGTACTGATTGGTCAAGGGCTTTTGTCGTTACGATGTGTAGCTGATTGATCAAACAACACTGCCATACTGCCCATGACCATGGACCTGATGCGAGCGTGTCGGTTATAATCGTCCTGGTAGCCCCCATGTCTGGCCCAACGTCGCTACCTCCAAGAAAGAAAGCTACGTGACGAGGCCGTTGGTAGGACGACAGGACACCTTTTGAACTGTCTCGACGAACTTTGCTCTGCATCTGCTTGCTTACGTAGCCTGGGGGTGACCAGGGTTAGAATTGAGCCATTATGGATCTTGCTCTCCACGTCCACAGCCCAGCGCTGCGCAAACGCTGCTGCCACATGCAGTCGTTCATTGCGGCGGTGTACTTCTCAGGGGTCTGCGGCTCCCTCCCTCGTTTTCATCCCTCTCCTCCTCCCGTCTCTCCCTTGACATTCCCCCTTCTCCTCCCTTCTCCCCTCCTCCCTCGTCTTCCTCCCTCTCCTCCTCCCCTCCTCCCCTTCTCCTCCCTTCTCCCATTCTCCCTTCTCTCATCCCTCGTCTTCCTCCTCCTCCTCCTCCTCCCTCTCCTCCTCCCTTCTCCCCCCTCTTCCCCCCTCTCCCTTCCTCCTCTCCCGCCCCATGGCCGGCCGGGCGCGTGCAGGCTGCACGTCTGGCACGCGCAGCTCCTCTCTGAAGTTGCTGAGGTTGCACCGGTGCTGTTCGGCTGGGGCCCCGGGCTGCCGCTGGGCAGTCTCACCGGCGAAGTCGTCCTACGATCATCGAGGTGCTTTGGCTGCTGCTAGTTGTTGGTCGGGTGGTACCGTATGATTTTCCATAGGCCTCATGCACAACAAACAAGCATGCGCCATGGAGAAGGGCCGATGGTGCACTAGGCTGTGGACTGGCACACGGCCCGTGCACAAGGCATGGTTCTGCACGCGCTGTCTTGGCTGCCATTATATTACTGAGCCGAGCATCCTGCAGGATGCGAACTGCGAAACTATCGCCACTTTCGAGGGCTGATGTGGGGCCCAGTGGAGTGACGACCTGCCGGGGATTCAGATTAGACCTCGTCATCCCTGGTGGGCTGCGAGCTTCGAAAGCGTCGCCACTTTTGAGGGCTGCTGGGGGGTCCAGCGGATTGACGCCCTGCCGGGATCCAGATTAGACCTCGCCATCCCCTGGGGGCTCCGAACTGCGAAACCGTCGCCACTTTCGAGGGATGCCGGGGGGTCCAGCGGAGTGACGCGGGCTGCTGGGGGGTCCGGCGGAGGGACGCCCCGCTGGGGACCCAGATTCGACCTCGCCATCTTTTGAGGGCTGCGAGCGGCGAAATTGTCGCCACTTTCGAGGTATGCTGGGGGGTCCAGCGGAGTGACGCCCGTCCAGGGACTCATACTATACCTCGCCATCCCTTGAGGGGCCTGCGAGCTGCGAAGGCGTTGCCACTTTCGAGGGGTGCCTGGGGGCTCCAGCGGAGGGACGCGCCGCCGGGGGCTCCGATCAGGCCTCGCCATCCCTGGGCGGCGGGCGAGCTGGGTCTCGCTCGCCTCTCGCGCTCGCCATGAGCAGCTCTTCGCTCGTGGCGCCAGGGCGACGCGGCGGTGGCGTCGCCGCTCGTCCGCGAGCTGCTTGAGAACATCGCCACCCTCCTTCCTCCTGCGTCCTCCCCGAGTGCTCTTACTCCTTCACCGTCTCCCAGCTGCTGCCGCGTGAACTTCTAGGCCCCCTCTCCGTCCTGTTCCTGCCCTGCCTTCCCGCCCCCTTCCTCTCGGAGCCTTGGGCCTCGCTCTTCGTCCATCTACTGTTGTCCGGTTAGTCGTGCAGCGCGCGCGCGCATCCAATGTATCATGCACAACAAGCGGCGGTTATGACACTGTCAGCCCGCATCTATAAAATATGTGGGCCAATAAGTCTCGTCACACGGTGCAAACTGTTTGGGCACATCACCGGGTAATGTTGTAGTACTTCTTCTCTCTCTCTCTCTTTCTCTCCCTCTGGTTACATATTATTATTGCTGTGTATGCCTTCTCAACTTGCTCTGCACTTCATCCCCTACTATTTAATATTTCCTCTCTGCGTTCTCTCTTTCTCTCTCTCCCCTCTCTCTCCTCGCTCTCTCGCGCGCCTCCTCTCTCTGTTCCTATCTAGTTCACCCCCCCATGCATGTATATAGCTCTATACATCTGTGTATAATCAGCTGTGCTCTATAGTCATGTATGTAGAACAGTTCTTACTATGACATCGCTCCCTCTCTCTCTGTCTCTCCCCCTTTTTGTTGTTTTGTCTCTCTCTCTCTCTATCCCTCTCTCTCTCTCTCTCCACACACACAAATGTCTCTTCTGGTATATGTATATATGTGTATATTCATGCACGTATCAATATAGAAACCAAGACAACATCGGCACATAACACGAAGAGCACACGTCGACACTTGGACACGTGTCAATTGAAAGTGTGACGACAAATATTTGAGTCACAGAGGCGTACGTTGTCAGGGAACATCGCACTACGCATGTGTACGCACGCTTCAATGATCAATTGCATGCGAAAAGGCATGGACATCGCATTGGACGCCTAAAAGAGTAATCCACGCATACACGTGTATGCGGCTCAAATCCTTTTCAGCGATGCTTGCCAGCAGGGATGATGCCTCAGAAAAAAAGCATGCTGCTAAACCCGACTACTCTGAAACACGACTCGGGGACGCTCTGGGCGGGACGCCCCAAATCAATTGGTATAAGGCGACGCTTGCCGAGCACTGGCAACTAATCGGAGCATCTTACGATGTCAGCGTGGCTGGGAGACCGCTCGACTCGAGGGCGAACGGCATGTGGCGCTTCTGAAGCAGGCCGCAGGTGCCAGCTTTCATCTAGCAGCACTCCTTAGCTTCTCATTGAATCAACCACGCTCGCGCGTTAAAATTAGGTAGGTAGGCTCCTCCCCCTCCTCCTCCTCCTCCTCCTCCCCCTCCTCCTCCTCCCTCCTCCTCCTCCTCCTCCTCCTCCTCCTCCTCCTCCCCTCCTCCTCCTCCTCCTCCTCCTCCTCCTCCTCCTCCTCCTCCTCCTCCTCCCCCCCATCCTCCTCCAGGAATCTCGCCTGCACGAGCGGCAGGCGAGGGGACGGGAGAGCCTCTGCTGCCACGCCTCCGAGCCCCGCGGCCCGGCCGCGCCGCCTGCCCGCAGACCCAGGCCTCCGACGTCTTGATTCCTAGGCTTGTGGAGGACGATCAGTGGAGAGGAAGCATGCTGCCAAATAGTTCCCAGATGTCTAGAACATGCGTTAACCATGTTTCAAACATGTAAACACATGTTTAAAACCATGTTTAGAACCTTTTTTGGCGAGGAAGCATGCTGCCAAATAGTTTCCAGATGTCTACAACATGTGTTAGCCATGTTTTTAAACATGTGAAAACATGTTTTAAACATGTTTAGAACATGTTTCCGACATTTCAAACACATTGAAAATTCATTGGTAAGACTGTTAGGATGTCCATTGTCGTGGCATCCACAATTCTAAGCCTCCTAGATAGGGTCGGAGTAGATGGGGTCGGAGGATCGCGCCGCATCGCCGATGCATCGCCGATGTGGCTCGATGTCGAGCCCGATTTGCTTCACGTCGGCGTCGCCGATACATCGCTGACGTCGACGATAAATCGAGGGTGCATCGCCGATGCGATGCATCGCCGACGTATCGACGGTGTGGCGCGATCCTCTGACCCCATCTACTCGGACCCCATCTGGGAGGCCTCTACTGATATCTTCAATACAATGGAAGCCCGTGCCAAGAGACACCCAGCGTCTGCCTCCGGGGTGACGTCCTGGGGTCTCAGGGTCGGGCTTCTTGTGGAAGGCTTCTTGTGTGGTCGAGCTCCCACTGTACGGGGGCCCCCCGGAGCTCTGGAGACCACTTCCCGGGGGCCGGCTCTCCTTGAAAGAGTCCAAGGGCCCGGCGAGGGCCCTCCGACGCCGAAGACGGCGAAACGCCCCCGTCGGGACTCTTTCCTCCTCCTCCTCCTCCTCCTCCTCGTCCTCCTCCTCCTCCTCCTCCTCCTCCCTCCCTCCGCCTCCTCTCTTCTTCCCTCCTCCTCCTCCTCCTCCTCCTCTTCCTCCTCCTCCTCCTCCTCAATGCGTTGGAGGCCTGGGGAGCGCGCGGCCCCCGCAAGGTGGTCGTCAAGGCGGCCCGCCTGCAGGACGACCCGGAGGAGGCCCGCGGCACCCGTGGCGGGGGGGTCCCCTCTTCGACCGCAGCTCGGGCAGCACCCATCGGGGGTGGACAGAACCCCCAACAGTGACACGTCGGTTAGTGAATTGTCCGTTTTCGGTTTTCGAGAGGGCGCCGTGGCTGTATTTTCCAGGCTTGCGCCCGCCAGGTTTGGGCCTCAGGTCGTTTTCACTAAACCACGTTTTGCTAAAGGGGGGTCTGTCCATCCCCGAACCCACCAGGAAACACGTTAGGGTGATGTCGGGCATGTCCTCCGATTGGCGATTCTCGAAAGAACCGTCAAACGTAGTCAAAGCATACTTTTTCGCTGATAATGAAAGAACGCTTACACATGCTTGGAACACATTCCAAACGTACTTCGGGGAAGCCACGATCCCTGCTGGAGGATTGCCTTGCTGTCGCGATATCCCCCCGCATGTTTCGGCGCGCGTAACGGTTAGGTGGTGGGGCAGGGTCTGTTTTCGATCCGATCGGTCCGATTCGGTGTCGATTCCGACGGGCCGTATCCGATTCGATTCCGAGATTCCGACGATTCGATGCGGCCTGATGCTCGCAGGGCTTTGTTGTACATCCTGGCGCAGCCGATCCGACTCGATGTCGAAAACCGCACGCCCCAGATAATAAGGCATCCCCCCTTTAGACCTGAGTGTTGATTACCATTTTTGACCAAGACAGTTTTGGTCGGCGGCGGGGAGCGGCGGGGCCGAACTTCTTGCATTATCACCGGGGAAAGTACGAATCGTAGATTGGATCTTCTTGTCATGAATCATCAGTATGATCATTTTTGTGAGGACGTCTCAGGCGAAACGCGCAGTTTCGAAGATTCGCCGAGCTTGCGAGGTGAGGATGTCTCAGACGAAACGGACATGTATCATTTTTGCGGGGATGTCTCAGGCGAAACGGGGTCCCAAGAGGCCCAAGAGGCCTCAAGAGGGCCCAAGAGGGCTTCAAGACGGCCCCAAGAGCGCCCACGAGCGCCCTTCCCCCTCCTCCTTCTCCTCCTCTTCCTCCTCCTGCCCCTCCTCCTCCTCCTGCTGCTGCTGCTGCTGCTCCTCCTCAGGATTCCTACTCCTCTCACTCCTCCTGCGGTGCTCCGCCAAGGACGTCGCGGCTGCCGAGAAGAAAACGAGCTGCTGCTAGTGGCGCACGACTCCTCCTCCTCTTCCTCATCATCATCCTCATCAACATCCTCATCTTCCTTCTCAACATCTTCTTCCCCCAGGAAGAAGTTTATTATCCTCCCTGGACCCTGAACTTCATTATCCGCACCCTGTGAGTCTCAGGGGCATGGGGTTACCGTGCCGATGCAGCCCGATCCGATGCACATTTCGAATCGATCCGATTTGCTGACTCGATGCTGACTTATCTTGGGATAGGCTCAGGGGCAAGGTCCGGGAGGGATAGGCTCAGGGGGGAGGTTCGATATTCGAGGTTAGAGGGCGTCTGCGTCGGATCCCAGCGGTTTTCCTGCCTCGAGGTGCGCTTCAGCAGCCGCGCCTCGCCGAGGTGAGTCCGGGGCTGCTCTGGTCGTCCCGAGCGGCCGTACCCATTTCGGGCGTCCAAACCTTAGCGGTGACCCCCTTTGGCATTGCACGGGTAACGGTTCCGGAAGGTTTCCAGGCCCCGGGTGGCTCCCATCAGCAGCGCCTCGTCGAACGCGTTTTGGGGGTGCAGGGATTCTCAGGGCTCGTTTTGATGCCTCCGATTCGCTCCGATTCGGTTTGGGCGGCTTCCGATTCCGATTGGATTCGACTTTGGACTCCGATCTGGGCTCCGATCTCGCAACGGAGGCATGCTAGCCTGCCGATTTCCGCCGATCCGACTTTTCCCGATCCGGCTGCCGTCCGCCGATCTCATACAGTTCGTAGGGGGCCACATGCGAACCCTACCCCTACCCCCCACGATTTCTGAGGGGGAGGGTGGGGTTCACTTCGCTCGGGAGCTCCCGAGCGAAGTGAACCCCGCCCTCCCCCTCAGAAATCGTGGGGGGTAGGGGTAGGGTTCGCATGTGGCCCCCCCAGTCCGCCGATACGATTCCTTTCGATCGCCGATCCGCTTTCTCGACTCGACTCCGGGGGCGCCTGGGCAGTCCGCACGGCCGCCTGGTCCCCGAGCGTGAAGTCGGGCCTGTCCCCCTACAGGGGGATTTTCGACGAAAAATAACAAATACCCCCAGAATAGTCCAAACATACGGCCAAAATAGTATGTTTTTTGGAGTGGTGGTATTTTTTGGACCTTTTTGGTGAATTTGTCGTGTATTTATATATATATATATATATATATATTGTTTTTTTTCGTTGAAAATCCCCCTGTAGGGGGACTCGCCCGACATCAGGGTCGGCCGTGCCGCCACGGCCGACCCCCCTCGAGCCCGGGCAGCGCCGGGAGGGGCCACTGCCAGGCGAGGGGGGGGGCTCACCGGCTCCTCCCGGGCCACCGGATCCGAGGAGCCCAGGAGGTCGGAGGGGGAAGGGGTACCCCCCCGAGGAGGAGGGGGAGGAGGAGGAGGAGGAGGAGGAGGAGGAGGAGGAGGAGGAGGAGGAGGAGGAGGAAGAGGAGGAGGAGGAGGAGGAGGAAGAGGAGCTCTGCCCTTCCCTCGTCAATTTCCCCTCTTTTTGTGTCCTCTGGGCAGCTCTCGCCGTCCCACCGCTGGCTTCGCTTCGAAATCCTGGTCGGAGCGCGCCCCGGCAGAGGTCCGGGGAGTCGCGGCATCGGTACCTCTTAGACTCCCCGAGAGGAGCCAGCACCAGGCGGAAGGACCGAGGAGGACAGAGCACCGGGGGATGTCTCTTGGCGTCTCTTCAGGAGGGAAAAACACACAGACACAATGAATCGTCGATTCCAAAGAGAATATGGGAAAATATGGGAAGTGGGGGGGGAGACAAAAACCGAGAAACTATGGGAAAATATGGTGAATATTGTTATTTGTGTCTATTTATTTGTGTGTCCCAGGGCCCCTTCATCTTTGGGAGTCCTGGGGGGCTCTGTGGGTCCACGGGGGCTTGCTTCCTGCATGAAGTGGCGACCCCCTCCGTGGTGACTCCTCGGCAGTGCCTGGGTACGTCACATCTTCGGAGGGTTTCGATGCCCGCTCTGGTTTCCACGAGCTGCTCCTCGTCGAGAGCGTTCCGGGGGGCCAGGGCTGTCCCAAACGGCCTCCTGGGCCCCGCGCTGTGGTCCGAGGCCCCGATGGAGCGCACGCAACGGGGCTCGGCGCTGACGGGGTCTGCCGTTCGCCTCCGATCCCCGCTGGCTGACCCGGGTCTGAGCCCGCCTCAGAGAGGGCCCCGCCTGCGGCGCAGCTCGCCCGCGGCGGAAGATGGCGGAAGTAAGCTGACGGCGTGCCCGCTGGCAGAAGTTTGGTGGAAGGAAACTCGGAGACTGGAACATAACTATACATTACCAGCGGCGGGCTGTTCTTCAATCCCAGGACTTTTCGAGGTTTGGGGGCGACGCCGGGGTGGTGTGGTGTATATGCTTTTTGTCCTCGCTGTCCTGGGGAGAACAACGAAAAGTTGCATACACCAGGGTTCCGTAATTATGCACACCAGGATCCACACTCCAGTGCAAGTTTCAATGCAGGGCCAGAAAAAGCGTCGGTGTATGTCGGCGCATCCTCCTCCTCCTCCCCCTCCTCCCCCTCCTCCTCCTCCTCCTCCCCCTCCCTCCTCCTCCTCCTCTTCCTCCTCCCCCTCCTCCTCCTCCTCCTCCTCCTCCTCCTCCTCCTCCTCCTCCTCCTCTTGCAGTCAGCCTCCAGTTCGATTCCCTGTAAACGTGAGACGTCCACCTGTTTGGATTCGGGGCTGACGGGGTCGGCCAGCGCCGCCCCCTTTCCCCGCCCTCCGCCGGCCCGCCTTTTGGGGGGGGGCCACCTATGCGGCCCGCCGGGGTCTGCGACGTGTCCCCCGGCTGACCCAGGTCGCCCAGGCTTCAGGAGGGAAACAATCACACAGGCATCATTCATCGTCGACTCCCAGGAAGAGATGGGAAACTATGGGAAGTGGTGGGGGAAGACAAGAACCCAAGACATTGTGAAAACATGGGGCATCATGTTATTTGTGTGTATTTCTTTGTGTGTCCCTGTTGCCCCTTCAAGGTTTGCGCGGACCTGGATGGGCACGTCCCCGAGGCCCGGGAGAGGCGTGCCTGGTCGTAGCGGCTTCATGCGGAAGCTCGTATCAACATCTCTTCTTGTCCGTTTTATGCCGCCAGGCTTATGATGCTCCAATCTACTTTAACCTTGATCACCAGAAATAATTTCGATCGCCAGAGAAACTACCGAAACTCAAGGGTTTTCACGTGTCGGGCCCTGGGAGACACTCGCCCGACACTGTTTCGACACTGTTTCGACACTCTTTTGCAACTTTTTCAGGTGCTCGGAATTATTTCTGGGATGTGGTCCTTAAGTAGGATGGGAACAACATAACGCCAGACAACGAATTCGCTTGAGACTTATCGAGAACGATGTTTCTGGTTTCATTCCATGTCGTCTGAGAGTGCCCGTGTCGGGTGATGATCGTTCGATGGCCGAGGATCGATGAAGGTCGAGGATCCAGAACCGATCGACGTTCAAGTATCGAGGATCGATCCAAGATCGAAGATACGTGGGTGGCTTCTCCGTGAAGTGCTGGTCTGATTTTCTCCACAGTGAGTGAAAGGACGCATCCCTGGACAGAGCTCTGGCTCGATTTCCGACGGGAGACGACGCCGACGACGACGACGACGACAGCAACCACGAGGTCGACGACGGACGACACTAACGAGCCCACGACGACCGCGCCGACGCCGACGACATCCCTGACGGCGGCGGCGGCGACGACGACGACGATGACGACGACGACGAGTCCACAGCGATGATGACGCCGACGCCGACGACATCCCCGACGGTGGCGGCGCCGCCGCCGACGCCGACGCCGGCGGCGACGGAGCCGACGACAGCCGACGCGGCGACGAGAGCCGCCGGCGGCCCGCGGTGGCCGCAGGTCGCGAACTTGCGCGAGGAGGTGCGGCTCCAGAGCAGGCGCGCCCCTTCTGTCAAGCAGGGGCGAAGCGTCCTGGCTCGCCTGTAGCCCCACCGAACAATGTTCTAAGAGCCTTTTGTGGTTTCCACGGGATGTTCTTGGAGCATTTCTGGCTGGGGCTGTCGTGGTTTAACACATCGGGTTAATGTTCCAAGAACCTTGTTTTTGTTCTTAGAACATGTTTGGGTTCTAAGAGCATTTCGTGGTGGGACTGTAGGGATGCTGGGACGGTGGGTCCCTGCTGAATTCTGCGGCATGTCCGGGTCATGACAGCGAATTAGCTCGTCTTTTCTTTCGTCAAATGGGTGGTCGTGCAGGTCGTCGTGGCTTCGATTTCTGAGGCTACTTTTTGGCGGATGGGTCGGCGCCGCCGACGGCCTCCCTTCAGACGGTCAGGAGCGCCTCGTGCCTCGGCGTCGTCGTGCCGCCCGGCGCTGCCCCCGCCCACGCCTCGGCGAGGCACGCCGCCCCCGCCCCCCGTTGCCAGGCGCCCGCGCCCAGAGAGCCTCTCCCGGGGACTCCCGCCACGCGGAGCGGCGCGGCGCGCTGTCCGCTCGTGCAGAGCGCCGCTGGTCGCCGGGGCCCGCCGCCCGCGACACCCCGGGGTTGGCTGCGGAGCGCCGGCGGCGTCGTGGGAGGGCCCGTCGAGGGAGCGTCGCCCCGACACCCGGCGCGTCTCGGCCTTCCTTTGGCCTCCCGGGGCTTCTCCTCGTCGCCACTCGGGCCGGACGAAAGGGGGGGATAGGGAAAGGAGGGGGGGGCACGAAATTTGCTGCACGTAGCTGGTTTCGGCCCCACCGAGGGGCCCATTCCTCGATACATGGCCGCCTCTGGCGCCGGGAGGCGCCGGGAAAATTAGCTGCGTGAGCTGATTCTCAAGCCCCCCCTTTGCTATGCCCCCCTTTCGCCCGACCCGAGCCACGGCTGGACCCGCCCGGAAGAGCGGCTCGGGAGGGTTCCGAGGACCGACTTTCAGCGGGCTCGGGCCTGCCTTCTCCAGGGCGTTCGGCGTCTGGGCCGGCGGCTTTCATCGGAGGTGGGGGGGTGAGATCGCATCGGAACGGAGACCCCCCACCGGGAAATCGTTTCGTTGCGCTCGTGTCGTGCGTGTGGGCGAGGCGAAGCTGCGTGGGCGCGCGAGAGGAAGGAACCCGCCCTTGCTAGGGCGAAGTCAAGACAGATGTTTCTCCTCCCTCCGTCCGTCCCGCGGTGGCCTTAGCGGTGTCCCGCGGTGGCCCGTGGTGACCCGTGGTGTCCCGTGGTGTCCCGTGGAGTCCGCCGCTGTTAGGGCGAAGTCAAGACACATGTTTCTCCTCCTCCGTCCGTCCTTCCAGCGGTGGCCCTCGGTGGCCCGCGGTGTCCCGTGGTGTCTTGGTGTCCCGTGGTGTCCTGTGGTATCCCGTTGAGTGAGATCGATAGTGAGATCGATACTGAGATCGATACTGAGATCGATGTGGTGCCCCGAGGTGTTCCGTGGTGTCCCGTGGTGTCCCAAAAAGTGAGATGGATAGTGAGATCGACAGGTGTCCCATGGTGTCCCGTGGTGTCCCGTTGAGTGAGATCGATCGTGAGATCGATCCTGAGATCGATGTGGTGCCCCGAGATGTCCCGTGGTGTCCAAAAGAAGGAGATCGATATCCCGTGGTGTCCTGTTGAGTGAGATCGATACTGAGATCGATACTGAGATCGATGTGGTGCCCCGAGGGGTCCCGTGGTGTCTGGTTGAGTGAGATCGATAGTGAGATCGATAGTGAGACCGATTGAGATCGAGAGGTGCCTCGCGTCCCGTGGTGTCCCGTGGTGGCCCGTGGTGGCCCGTGGTGTCCCGTGGTGTCCCGTTGAGTGAGATCGATAGTGAGATCGACAAGTGTCCCGTGGTGTCCCGTCGAGTGAGATCGATAGTGAGATCGATTGAGTCAGATGTTGGTTCCCCCCCTCTCCCCCCCCCACAATCTCCTTATCACCCGAAGGGTTGTCGTTTTGGCAGCTGGTATGGCTTTGGAAGTGTTTGGGCCCCGGGGTGATTCCCATTAGCTGCGCCTCGTCGAGGGGTGGCAGGGGTGCCCAGATCGTCCCGAGCGGCCGCCTGAGGCCTGAACTACGGTTCGAAAGCCGAAGCCTTGGGGGTCCCTGGCATGGGCCCGTTCGGCGTCTGCGCTTGCTCGGCCGCCGAAGGCGCCGCCCCAGGCAGGGCCGCCTACGATCCGCGTCGACTCGACTCGGTGCAATTCACCAGCATCGGCTGGGGCCAGCCAGGAGGTGGGCCCGGCGGTGCGATTTGGGCTCGCTTCGAGACGCCTCGCTGGCGGCGATCCGATCCGCTTTCGAGCCAGGCTCTGGCCTGCCCGTTCCGACGGGGTCGTGGGACTTCGAGCCCCCTCGGCCTGCGAAAGTCGGGACCCGATCTCGGGTCCGTCCGGCGGCCGAGTGGGCCCCCACGGATATCCCGAGGGGGCTTGGAAGGAAACCTCGGGACATCGGGCCCCGTGTCGGCGACGACTGGGCGATGGGGGTTCGATGCATCCCCCCCTGAGCCTGTCCCCCTCCCCAACACGTCGGCTCACGAGTTTCGAGTCATCTAGCTCGGCTCTCGGGCGGCTGGTCGGGACGATCCAGGCACCCTCAGACCGCCCCGTGCGGTGCGCATCCGTTGGAGACCACCCTGGGCATCGACAAAGCCCAACACGTCTCCTGGCGACGGACCCGAGCATGTGCAGTTGTGCTGTTGGTATCGCCTCTGGTGGATTTCCTCGTGGGGCCACGAAGCGCGTGAGGGGTGTGCCGAAATGGCGCGGGCGCTGCCTCTGGGGCCTGAGGTGGAGCCTCCTTCTATGGGACCACGGAGCGTGTGCGGGATGTGCCGAAGTAGGGCGGGGAGCCGCCGTGCGGGCGGCTGCCACTGGCGCCTTCGTAGGAGCTCCCTGTGGGGCCACGAAACGTGCGAGGGGTGTGTCGATACAGTCGGGGCGCTGAAGAAGGACCCCTTTTAGTTGTGGAGGGGCTCCGTGTTCCTTGATTGTGTCACAATTTGTTTTAGGTTGTCCTTAGGTTTTCGATGGGAAATCGAAGTTCGAAGTGTGGAAAACAGGGGCCTCGTTCCTTATTTAGGGTTCCTGAGGTCAACGCCCGACTGTATGGGTGGGATGCCTGGACACGCGCGAACTGCGCAACTGGGACCTTGGGTGGAGCTCCCTGTGGGGCCACGAAGCGTGCGAGGGTGTGCCGAAATGGGCGGCCGGGATGCGTGCGAACTGCGCCAGTGGCGCCCTCGGTGGAGTTCCCTGTGGGACCACGAGACGTACGTGGGGTGTGAGGAGGAGGAGGGGGAGGAGGAGGGGGAGGAGGAGGGAGGAGGAGGAGGAGGAGGAGGAGGAGGAGGAGGAGAGGAGGAGGAGGAGGAGGAGGAGGAGGGGGGAGGGAGGAGGGGTGGAGGAGACGAGAGGAGGACGCGGTGCGCTGTCTTACAGTCAATCTTGACTGACCCCCCTCCTGCTCAACGTTGTCCCTCAGTCAGCGAGCGAAGAACAGTAGAAAATAAACTTTTTCGCCGTCGGAGACACCTGCCCCTGGGCGGCTGGAAAGTTTATACTACGGTGCCACCGTAAGGGTATAATCTTTCCGGCCGCCCAGGGGCAGGTGTCCCCGACGGCGAAAAAGTTTATTTTATACCGTTCTTCGCCCGTTAACTCAGAGAGGGCCCTCGCCGCGCCAGGCGGAGCCCCAGCGTGCGGGCGGGCTGCGCTGCTGCATCCTGACCGCTCCGACGGCCGCGTCGGCTCGAGCCCGCCGCGAAGCCACCGGGGTCCCCAGGGGCCGCGAGCCTCGGCCATCCTCGACCCTCTTCAATCCTCGATCCTCCTCGATCCTAGACCCTCCTCGACCCTCCTCGATCCTCTTCGATGCTCCGATGCCCTGCTCTGGCCGCCTCTGGCCCCGCGGCCGCGAGCGGGGCCCCGCGGCGGCAGGGGCCACGTTTCAAGGGGCGCGGCGCGAGGGCGCGAAGGTGGCCGCCGCGTCGCGCAGCGCGGGGTGCGGTGCGCGAAGCCAGGCCACCTGCAGCTGGCCAGGGCTGGACCTGAACGGTGTTTTTCAGGAGGGGAAAAAACACACAGACACAATTAATCGTCCACTCCCAGGAAAATATGGGAAGATATGGGAAGTGGGGGGAAGACAGAAGCCCCAAAAATATAGGAAAATATGGCGAATACTTTTATTTGTGTGTATGTATTTGTGTGCCCTGGGGCCCCTTCAGTTTTGGGCGATTCCGTGGGCCGTGTTCGTTTCGATGTCGTTCTGCGGTCGCGGCGGATCCGAGACAAAAAACGATGGAACAACGAAAGCAAAACGGAAAAAGTTATCCTGGCGAAGGTCCCCACCATATGCAGTTGTGGGTGCCGTATTTGTGAATATCTGCTTCGGTGAAGCTCCCTATGGGGCCACGAAGCGCTGCACTGGGCGGGGGGGAACGCTGTACTGTGTGGGTGGTGTGCCGAATTGGGTTTCCGAGACGCATGCGGACGGTTCCACTAAGAGCTTCGGTGGAGCTCCCTATGGGGCCACGAAGCGCTCTACTGAGTGAGTGAAAATGCCAAATTGGATTTCCTGGGCGCATCCGGACGGTCCCACTGGGGGCTTCGGTGGAGCCCCCTATGGGGTCACGAAACGCTGCACTGCGCGGGTGAAAATGCAAAATTACATTTCCCGGACGCATGCAGACGGTGGCACTGGGGCCTGGGTTGGAGCCCCCAATGGGGCCACGAAGCGCTGCACTGGGTGGGTGAAAATGCCAAATTGGGCTTCCTGGGCGCATGCGGACGGGGGCACTGGGGCTTTCGGTGAAGCTCCCTATGGGGCCACGAAGCGCTGTGCTGGGTGTGCGGGACGCATGCGGACGGTAGCGCTGGGACCTTCGGTGGGGCTCCCTCCTATGGGGCCACGAAGCGCTGTACTGGGCGTGCGGGACGCATGCGGACGGTAGCACTTGGATCTCGGTGGGGCTCCCTATGGGGCCACGAAACGCTGTACTGGGTGGGCGAAACGCAGGGAGGAGGGGGAGGAGGGCCACGAAACGTTGTGCTGGGTGTGTGGGACGCATGCGGACGGTAGCACTGGGACTTTCGGTGGAGCTCCCTATGGGGCCACGAAGCGCTGTACTGGGTGTGCGGGAACGCATGCGGACGGTAGCACTGGGACCTTCGGTGGGGCTCCCTAGGGGGCCCCCTGTACTGGATGTGCAGGACGCAATGCGGACGGTAGCACTGGGATTCGTGGGCTCCTTGGGGCACGAAACGTTGAGTGGGTGGGTGAAACGCAGGGAGGAGGGGAGGGGGGAACGCTGTACTGGGTGTGCGGACGCATCGGACGGTAGCATTGGGACCGTAGGTGGAGCTCCTTATGGGGCCACGAAGCGCTGTACTGGGTGTGCGGGACGCATGCGGACGGTAGCACTGGGACCTTCGGTGGGGCTCCCTATGGGGCCACGAAACATTATACTGGGTGTGCAGGACGCATGCGGACGGTAGCACTGGGACCTTCGGTGGGGCTCCCTATGGGGCCACGAAACGCTGTATTGGGTGGGTGAAACGCAGGGAGGAGGGGGAGGAGGGCCACGAAACGCTGTACTGGGTGTGCGGGACGCATGCGGACGGTAGCACTGGGACCGTAGGTGGGGCTCCTGATATGGGCCACGAAACGTTGTACTGGTGATGACGCAGGGAGATGGGGAGGAGGGAGGAGGGGAGGGGGGAGGAGGGAGGAGGAGGAGAGGAGGAGGAGAACGCGGGGCGACGTCTCTTCAAAACGAGGACCCAACACCACAGGATGGTTGGGAACAAAACGAAAACTAAAACGAAAACAACAAAAGTATGCGGGAAAACGACAACAAAACGGAAACGAACAACACCGTTTAGGTTCAGCCCTGCAGCAGGCACGGCAGCCGAGAGTCCAGCCCGTCGGACGCCCTGATCCTCCGACGGGTGGCCCCCGGGGGCCAGCAGAAGCTCCGAGAGCACCGCGGGAGGCCCCGAGGGGCTCAACGACATGGCCTGCCGTTGAGCCCCTCGGGACACGGGGCCCTCCTCCTGGGCCCGTGCCCCGAGGGGCTCAACGGCAGGGACCGTCGTTGAGCCCCCGAGGGGGGCCCGGGGCAGGTTCTCGCACCCCAGCCTGGTGCACCTCCTCTTCGCGGCGGAGACGCCCTCGGAGGCCCGCGCTCCTCGGGCGCGTCGCCGCCGCCGTCGTCTTCGTCGTCACGATCGCCGTCGTCGAGGTCGTCGCCGTCGTCGCCGCCGCCGTCGTCGTCATTGTCGTCGTCGTCGTCGTCGTCGTCGTCGTCGACGGTTGCAGTGATCACCGAGGGTCACCGCCGTTGTCGACGTCGAGGCCGTCGTCGTCGTCGTCGTCGTCGTCGCTGGCGTCGTCGCCGCCGTCGTCGTCGTCGTCGTCGTCGTCGTCGTCGTCGTCGCTGTCCCTGAGGTCAGAGTCGAGGCCGCCGTCGCTGCGATCGCCGTCGCCGAGGGCATCGCCGCGACCGCTGGCGCCGTCGTCGTCATCGTCGTCGTCGTCGTCGTTGTAGTCATCGTTATTGTCGTCGAGGTCGAGGTTGAGGTCGGTACCGTCGTCGTAGTCGTTGTCGTCGTAGTCGTCGTCGTCGTCGTCGTCGCTTTTCTAGGCTGGCTTGACACCCTCTTGGCGCTGTCGTGGGCCTCCTTGGCAGCCGGTTCGGGGTCGCCTCGGGAGAGTGTTTTTTATCAGGTGGACCCCCCCCCTGTAACGGAAACTAAAGTGCGCATAGGTGGTGCTTTGGTTCTCTCTCCCCCGAATTTGGCGCTATGCTTCTGGGCGTGCGCTGTGGTGCTGACGGGCATGCTTTGGTGCCCGCAGGATGCTGTGCCGCCCGCAAGCAAGTTGGTCGCGGTGTTGCTGCTGCGGCTGCTCGTGTTGCTCTCCTGCTTCTGCTCCGGTGTTCCTCCCCCTCCGATGCCCTCCCTCGTCCAGAGAGGTCTCGCTGGTGGGAATGTGCTCGACCCCCTGGGCCATCACGCGCGTGGTGTCCCCCCCTCTCGCCACGCCCCCTCTCTAACGTAGCGCTCCTGCCCCCCTTCCCGTGGTGCGCCTCCAGCGCCTGCCATCTTGATGCTCGCGGGGCAGCTGTGGTGCCCTGCAGGCTACCCTGACGGGCCCACGGCCCGGGCGCGCAGAGGCGGTGCTGCGCCCGCGGGCGAGCGTCGCACACGCAGGATCCGGCAGTTGGAGTGCGCACGGGCGCGGGGTTCACGCAGCGTTCTGGTGCTGGCGGGGCCGCGAGTGTGATGGCAGTGCTTTTTTTTTTTCGGTGGCAGAAGTGGTGGCAACGGTCGTAGCAGTAACAGTGACATCCGCAGGAGGAGGGGGAGGAGGAGGCGAAG